GAGCTCCCCGCCCCGCTCCCCGGGAGGCCTTACCTGTGATCCTCCCGAGCCTGCCGCCAAACATCTGCCCCACGAAGCCACAGATGTGTGCCCCCAGGCTCACTCCTATCATGTGCAGGGAGTCCAGGGATGCTCCGGCCACCTGAGGTTTAGAGGGACTTGTGGTCACGGATTTTAGGCAGGTGAAAGGCATAAAAAAAAATATCACGAGGAGGACTATGAACACATCTGCCTACTTCTCCCACTTCTTTTGAGGGAGCTGTGATGAGAACAGTTCAGGCAGTGGTTGTACTTCCCTGGGGCAGTGACTATAGGTGTGGACAGCAAGGAGTGTTCATGGGCCTCGTGAGGACAACTCCACTTGCCCATGTGTGGTTCATGCAAGAAGTCAGCAGACACAGTGACCCTAATGATCCAGTGTTGTCTTTGCCTGTGCAACAGCTTAGAGGAGCTGCAAAGTGTAGCTGACCCTCATAAGCTGACTTTTGGGTGTCCAGAAAGTGGAAATAAGAGTTTATGTGTATGGGAAAACGTACCTGTAGAGTTTTGTATCCAGAACCGTAGAGACTTAGAGTGTAAACTGAGTATTGCCACAAAACACCATGGTACCAAGACCAGGGGTAGAATTTGGCACTGCAGTGTAGCTCTACTTCCAAAAATTAAGGTATTCCTTTTTAGGAGTTTCTGTTCCCAGCCATCCTGTTGTTGTTAAACACCTCCTTTGTGCCCTCTATGTACTGTGTTAATGACTGCATCATGGGGTGAATGTTCAGCTTACCAACATTTCATCAATAAGTTTCTTCAGAATCTCAGCAACTTTTTTGCAGTTTCTGGAAGCATAGTTGTAGATGAGAGTTGTTGCCCCTCGGTTCCAGTCCACAAGGATGACGTTCATGTCTTCTACAGAAAGCAGGAGATGTACCAGGTCGGGGATCCAGACCGGGGCAGAGCCTGTGAGTCTGTATCCGTGGATGATGAAGGTGGTTTTCTTGGTCACATTGAGATACTTGGAGTCTGTTGAATGCAGCTCTTCAGCACAGTTTTGGTTCTGCCTGGTGTAGAGCAGCAGCTTCACCTTCAGGTCTGTCCCTACCAAGGCGTTGCCGAAGCTGAGGGCTGTGAACGCAGGACATGTCTCCTCAGGATCTGAAACGAGCACAGTGGCAATCCTGAGGTTAGCACCAAAGCGTTTGCTTGGACCTTTTCTACCTGCCAGGCCTGCAGAGGCACAGAAACATGTTGTGAGCTGGCTGAGCTGGGGCTGCTCCCTTCCTCTCCATCATGTTCCTGGTGAGTTACCCCGAAACGTGGGTTTTCTTCCCATCTTAGAACAAAGAGAGCAAGGGCACCTTCTCAGAGCAGCGTTCCCTCAAACAGCACAGTCCTGCTTCTACTCGCCCCAAAAATCCCACTAGTGTGAGGAAGGTAGAGAATGACAACAGGGATGGTTTCTGTACTGGTTTGAGAGCACACTTACATGCTCTGGACAGGTTCTAGGGTAAAGAGATATCCTCATGGTCAGTTTATAACTTCAGTCTGGAGCTGAGAAGCTGCAGAGGATCTTGCTGTTGTGAGGGGCAGCTGAAGGCTTTGTTTGTGTTTGCTGATGCAACCTGCTTATTTCAGCCTGGGACTGCTATTTCAGAAATGGGGCAGCCTTTGAGCTTGAGATAAATTACTGATACTGCTTTATACACAGCTGAGGAGTAACTGAATTTTGTGTAAGTGCTGCTTTATGGGACAGCCTCTGCCATTTGAAAGCCTGCCTTTGTTCCTTGCTTTTCCAGCAGAACACCAGCTGAGCTGTCAGAGTCCAATACAGTCTGACAGGGCACTGGCAGGGGATGGAATAACTGTCTCCAGACAGACACTGCTTATTAAGACCCTCCCAGGTTTGGTAGCTGCTTCCTGGCTCACAGTGCTTTCCCCCAAATCCCCTTAATCTTACAAAAGAACCTTGTGGGAGCAAGTGTCTCTCTCACACATATGCCTTTGGCTGCAGTAATTGTTCAGGCTGCAGTTGCTGGAGAAATCTTCCTGATTTTTTTTTTTTTACTTAAAAGTCTGTGCAGTAGGTAGAAGGGTTTAGAAAACCTGCATGAGAATTATATAAATGCTATTTGCCCAGCACACAAAATAATCTGCTCAGTTCTGCTAATTAGTTTGTAGAAACCCCAGGGGCTCCAGAAATAAAAGTTAATAGGCTAAAAGGATGTTGCAGTTAAGTCCAACTGGGTATTTTAAATTGCTGCCATAAATTCAGAAATAAATTTTAACATTTGAAATCCATGGAGTCCTTCCTGTATAAAGCCTCTGGTAAAAGCCATGTAGCAGAAGAGGAGCTTTGGAAAACGTGCCCTCAGCCAGGCCCAGTGGACACTGGTGGGTATCAGTGGCCTTTGAACTGAGGGTGTTGTGCCTCTGTCGTGCTCAGATCAGGGTGCCCAGGGGCAGTGTGACACTGGGCTCTGCTTTGCAGGAGTAAAGGTGACCTGGGTGGCTCTCTCCTGAGCAGCTTGTTCTTACAGTGCCAAGATGTTCCAGAGAAACAGCAGCAAGAGTTCTCCTTGCTCCTGTGGAGATCTGGAAGTAACTAGCAGAGGGAAGTCACCATTTTTTGCTGCTACACACCAGCATACTCAGTGACTGCCCTCTAGGTGCTACTGCAACATAAAGAATGCAATCCCATTTATTTCTTACTAATAACTAGAAACTGTTTTAGTCATTGTATAGTAGTATTATGTAGTAAGGTTAATCACCTTTACATGGCCAGAGCTGTGGTAAGACAGGCAGAAATGCCAGGCAAGCATGACTCCTACATGGTGCAGGTTTGCACTGATTACTTCATTAGTTTCTAGATCTCCTGCACTGTGCTGAGACTTGCCCAGAGGAGCCCAGTGTTTGTCACCAGAGCTGCCCAAACCTTCTGGGAAAGAGCTTTGAAAGAGCTGATGGGCATTTGCTAACACCTAGCACAGGAACTGTGTAAAACCCCTTGTTAGATCTGCACCAAGTCTGTTAGATTCGTTCTATTTCGATTCACAAAATCAGATCAGTGCTAATAGTGGGGGGAAAAGCTGCCAGCTTCTCTTCTGGCAGGCTGGTGCATATCCCAGACTCATCCACCATGTGTTAGAAAAGCTGACACATGAGGACAGCCAGTTATCCTGGCTCTGCTCTTCATTCTGATAGGCACAGTGAATCCCACCCAAATGGCTGGAAGCTTCTTTCAGTTGCCAACATGATTTCTCTGGTGGGGCAAGAGGCTTACTGAGATTAACTCTGCAAGCAAAGAAGTGATGTGGACACTTCCAGCCTGGCACTGGACTTAACCTGTGCCCAACAGACCTCTTCCTTCTAGGAAAGGTGAGTAAATGTGGCAGTTAACCCAGTGTCCCATTAACTCACTTCCAGCCCTGTCACAGCCATTCCCTTGCTGAACAGCCCCAGACAATTCACTTTCCTCCTTCTGCTCCATTTCTGGTGGGTAAAATAGGGTGGGGAAACACCAGTTTCCTGGGCAGGGTGCTCTGAGAGCTCAGCACCTGTAGCAGGGGACGTATGGATCTGTTAAAGTGATGTTCCTAAGGGGGGCCTGGGCTTCTTTTGTCTTGAGCTGGAGGTCAGCCTCTCTCTGAGGTGGTATCACAGCAGGAGGGGCATCTTCAGAACAACCTGGTTCTGCAGTGACATAGGTGTCTATTCTGAAGCTACACACTCCCAGGTGGGAGTGTTCTGCTCATGGGAATGGTCCCAGGCAGACTTGGTGGCATTTACACCAGTCAGGGACACTTCAGGCCTGTGTCCTTCTCATTCCTTTGTTGGAGATGATGTTCTTGCCTGGGCTTTTTACAGCCTTATGCCTCAGTGATGAGCTTTAAGCACACTTCACCACCACACAGCAAACATCAGCAGCATTACTGAAGATTTCTGTCACTTCTCCACACAGAGGGTGTGTTCTCTACATACAATTGGTCTTCAGTCTCTCACTGGGTTTCTTGGGTTCCTTTTCACACAGTTCTCTTTTTCCACTTACACATTTCCTCCAGCCTGTTGAACAAACTAGGCAAAACGTGACCCTAAGAGGACTCCAGAGAACCTGATGAAATACAGCTTGGTGTACTGGTGGGGTTTTTTTTTTCATCCTGTTTGTTTTCCCTGCAAAGCAGAGAGCTATAACTTGACTTGCTCCCATGTGTATGCTAACACAAGGCAGTACATTTGTTTATTGTTACACAGGTTGATTCTTGATAGGGCTGTGAGGATATCAGATGAAGCTTATTGTTCATAACCAGTAATTCATCCTCTGCGTCTGTCGTGTGAGGCACTGCTGAAAAGAAATCATTCTTCTCTGAAGATTTCCAGTGACATTTTCAGTGTCAATGGATAATACTTTTATAGAAGAGAAATGCTGGCGAAGTGAGGAAAAGATAATAAAAATGACTTCTGGTTTTACATCTGGAACTGCTAAAGCTGACTACGTCCCTGTAACCAGTGTCATTTGCTTTGCCAAAATAAATCATGCTAGTGAAAACCCCTCTGCAGTAACTAATGCAGAGGGGGAGATCTATTCATGTTCCTGCAAAGCACAGAAAGCCTATTAGATTTTTACAAAAAACACCCAAAGCAAATGGTTGATTTCTTACCTGCTTTCCCCCCATACAAAAGGTAGATGAACACTGCACACAGCCTCAGCATATGGGCTTCCACATGGAACTTCTACACCTCAAGGACTTCAAGGATCCCACAGTTTCTTTGGCATGTGTCTGCTGTCTCTGGCAACAGCTTGCTCTCTTTTTTTGCTGCCAGTAACAGTAGGTGTGGTGAAGGGAGGAAGTCACCAGCCAAGAAATGAAGAACAATCTGTAGTTATACAACTAAAGCTTCTTCTTAAAAAGGTGGGGCAACTTCCACTCTACCAGGTTGCCTTATTTTGAATATAGTTTGCCCTGGGGAATGACTAATCTGACATAAATGGTTTGGTATCCTGCTGTGAGCAGCAATTCAGCTACACGTGTTGAAACTAAGGAACTCATTGCATGGCTGTTTGTCTTTTGCAAAGAATGTCAAAAGCATCTGAGATCATGGGTGTCACTGCAAGTCTGATAGGCATCTGGGCAGGGCCAGCACTTGCTTTCCCAGGGCCCTGTGTTGGTGACAGTCATGATGATCCCTGCTCTCCCAGGTCCCTCTGGCTCTCCTGAGCACTGTGGCCCAGCATCCCTTCTCCCAGACCCCAGAGGCACTTGTCTGACACTTGTCAAACCCCCCCACACACCAAATTTTCTTGCACACCTGCTGGTGCCTCAGGGATCCAGCTCTAATTCAAGTAAGAAAAGCTTTTTTTTTTTTCCCTGCTGGTGGGAGGAAGAAGATGGCAGATGCAAAGACAACTGTCTGGGGCAGGAAAGGTGGATTTCCAGTCTGAAACTGGAGCTGGAAGATGTAGTGGCAAAAGTGGAGAGGTGAGGGTGGTGGGGAGTTTGTAACAGGGTGGAGAGGGGAGGAGAGTGCAGGAGAGAAGCTGTGTGATAGCTTTGCCTGATGTTTTCTTAACAAATTCTTCTAACCTAGGCTAGGTACAGGGAGCATGGGGAGGATCAGAAACACCTCATCAAGCACAAGCTCTGGTTTTGTCCCCAGGTGAGGATCCAATGAGGAGCTGAACTCAGTTCCCAGCTGCATAGCTGTTCCTTTGGTCCATGCTGGACACATCAAGTGGTCTGGCTTTACTGATCCTTGGGTTAATCTTTCACCTGCTGGCTGGCTGTAGCTCCTCCCTGTTTGGACAAGTGCAGGCAGGGATTACACCTCAGACAGAGGTGTGCACCCCACAACACCCATGATCTTTTTCACCAGCACCTTGAGCTCTCCATCCTCATGTAGCTCAGCAATCCCAGGCTCAGAGGACATGTGCTGTGCTGTGACTCCATGTGGGAATCACAGAGGCAAAGTTGTTTTTTCTTATTTTGAAGAGTATAAACACTGAGAAAAGACATCCAAAAAACTTCTGTGGAGTCTGGAAGCTGCAGGCTCCAGGAAGTGCTTCTGCTGATGCTCTGGTAAAACACAATCATATGAAACATTGTTTTCCTTCCAGTTCCTTTCTCACCTCCACCAGCAATCCTAAACTCTTGTCAAAATATTTTCTCCTTAGCAACTTCTGCCAAGGGTGTGAAGGAATCGGTCCAATAGTGAAACATGCAGGATGAACAGAAGGCTTTTACCTTTTGCAAGAGAGATTTGAGAATCAGAGAGAAAAGGAGATAAAGAACTTCAGAGGGCCTTGCCTTTCTCCTCGGCACAAAAAGGGGTAAGAATTCATTGCCTGAACCTAAGCCCCACTTGTTTCTTTTCCTCACCACTTCCCTCAGATTTCCAGCTCCCATCTGAGCCAGCTCATCCAAGTGGCTATCAGTTCAAGATGGCACTGCCAGGCTCCTCCTGGTGACAGAGCACTGAACAGGCTGCCCAGGGAGCTTGTGGAGTCTCCTCTGGAGACAGGTAAAACATGCCTGGATGTGACCCAGTGCAAACCTGCTTCAGCAGGGGGGTTGGACTAGGTGATCTCCAGAGGCCCCCTCCAACCCCTACCATTCTGTGACTAATTCCTTGCAAATCTCAACCATCCCTTGAAAGACAATGATTTGGGCTCACCACCATTTTAGCAGAAATCAGGCTGTTTACAGGACACATATTGGCAAACATACCCAGGATGTCAGCACTGCAAATGTTGTCCACCATCCAATCCTCATCCTGAGATAAGGAGCTCAAATAACCACTTGTGTTTATAGATTACTTTCAGCTCTTGAATCCTCTTGACCAATCTTTCATGCCTGGCCCACCCACACAACCTTCCCCAGCCACATGCTAGCTGAAGATAGTAACAACTAACTTAGGGCTGTGTGGTTTTTGTACTCTGACCACAGAATTCAGAGGAATACTTCTTGGGACTAAGCCTTCAGAGCCAGAGATGATCCCATTGTGAGCTTTGAAATCAGTTAACAACTTGAGACAGTAAAAAGTAGTTCTTTTATCACAGGTAGGAAACATTTCAGATTAAAATTGGCACTAACTGAAGAACAGTTTAACAGAAGATGATAGGAAATAATTTTACATAGGAGAAACACTCTGATATGAGCTCTGAGGTGTCAGCCACTGTCATTTCATGCTCATTACAGACACATTAAACTGTGTTTGGTCAGTGTGAGTAGAACCTTTGCTTGACCCTTTTGCAGAAATGTTGTTTCCTCCTTAGAGAAGCTTATGGCAGCAATGGTCAGCTGAAAAATATTTCTTATATTGCATTTATGCATCTGTTGTGTGAGACCCCACTGATGCACTAGTTTCCTGTGGGTGGAACATTCTCGTGGAGATACTGGAGGGCCAAATCTGTCCACTTCATTTCTTGCTCTTTCACAGACTCAGTTGTGCCACCGTTGTCTTGCTCTGGTTCAGGAAGCTCATTCTGAGGACAAAACAGAGGTAGAAAGCATTCCACACAGAATACACTGCCTGAAAGGAGCAGGTTACTACGACTTCATGTGGATAAACACAGAAATCCACAAATGAGGCCAGAGGGTGCATCTGAACAATATGTATCATACATACTGAGCCATTTAAAAATCAAACCAAGCCCAGTTATGAACAGTGTTCTTTTCACATGAATATGGTGTTTCATATGAAAGGTAAATTGGTTTTCCAGGACCCTGGGGCTTTGCTATGCACATGCAGTGAAGGAGGAGAATATACAGCAAATGTAAAATAAGTAACTAATAGTAGGATGCAATTATTCCACTGCTTGTTTGCAATGTGTTTCTCCTGCTGCTGCCAAGAGTACAGATACTGCCTTTATTACAGCTGTTAGTAAGACAACTGGTTCTGTAACATTACTTTCCTGTGGCAGGTGAGAACTCCTTCCTCCTTCCACAGGCTGAACTCAGGTGTGGCTGTGCAACAGCAGAACCCAAAAACCCCTACTAGGTGCAACACAGAGCTGCTCATGACACAGTACAGAGAGGTTCATTTTAACTGAGGTTTCATTTTCCTTCCTTTTATTATTTGTTCTCTGCGTGGCTGCACTGGTGCAGTCACACTGAGTGTGTGTGTTATTCTGCCAGGCACCATTTGAACAAGAATTTCTGAGTTCTAGATCTCTGGAAATCCCAGCATGAGCTAAGTCAAACTTTTCAGTTTTGAAAACAGGGTATGAGTTGAGCCCATTTGAGTTCCTAGGAGTCTCCTGAGTGAGCACTGGATCAGATGCTCATGACAGGCTCAAATACCACTTTACAGCCATTCTGTTGGCTCCTCTACAGTGTCAGGAAGTCTCCTGTGAGTTTGTGCCATTGATACATGATCAGAGCAAATCCCTGGGGATCTTTAATAGTCACAGCCAGGCCTTTCTTTATCCTGTCAGTTGCTGAGGGGTTCTGGCTCTGAGGCTGCCATCTGTATGTGACTGTAAGCAGCTCAAGAGATGGCTGTAAGGAAAGAAGCAGTAATGTTTGGACACAGGGCAAAGGCAAATGTCAGGTTGCAGGGAACTAGTTTATAATATTCAGCCTGCCTAATAAAGGTTATCCCAAGCAGAAGGGGCTTTGGGCTCTTGTATCAGGGCATCACAGTTTTGCCAGATCATTCCTGCAAGCCCAGATCCTGACAGGAAAACTTGTGTGCTGGATATATGGATTTTAGAGGTGTGTAGCTGCTCCTTGTCCTCTCTGAAAATTCAGTCAGTGGTGTAAAGGCTACAGCTTGAGCCATGTAACTGGCAAATTTGGAAGTGTCTCTGTGCTAAAAGAAACAGCAACCTATCAGTCCCCACATTTAGCATGACTGCTTTGTCAGTGCTGGCCAGGGCAAAGCTTGTGTGCACCAGAGAGGAAAAGGAAAGGGAAGATCCTGGTGACACGAAGGGGAAGCACAGAAAAAGGACGATTCTACTTCTCCCTGATGGCAAACCCAGAATTGTGTGCTGGGAAGAGCACCCTGGTTCCAAGGAGATCTGACAGCTGGTCAGGAGAAGATGGAGAGAAACATCCATGTCCTGATACACACACAGGAACGACTGGCACACAGGACAATGAAAGATTCGGGTCCATCCTGGGCACCTTTAGTACAAACTAGCTGCGTGACACCCAGTACTCTCTGTGCCACTTCTTGGAAGGGGCTGAGATAAACCCATCAGTCTTAACTCAGATTGATAAGCAGCAATTCACCTACCAGAGGGATGGCCACATCCTCGTACGGCAATTTGTCTTCCCTCCATGCATCATCGATCAAATCCAGGATTCTGCCGTCCCTCTGCACTTCGCTGTCCATCCTTGTAGCAGGCGGGTTCAGCTAAATCTGTGACACAAAGCAGGCGCTATTTCTAACATCCACATCCCCAACCGAGCAGCTGGTGCTTGAACTAGGGGCTTGCTCCAGTTTTGAATCCAATTTCTATCAAGCTCAAACTTTTAGGGAAGACCTTGTTTTTCCCTAATCCACTCCAAAAGGGGCTATGACCGCAGCAGAGCTGCTTCATCTGAAAAGAGCGCTCTCAAACTGAAATACCCCCCGGGACCGTGTCAGCAGCGGGCGGCCCGAGGGTGCCGGCGCTGCAGAGCAA